CCTGTAGTCCAGGTCTGGGCCTATGCTGACGATGGCCTAGCCCAGTGTCTCAAGCCCAACTAAAAACAAATGACTATAATTAGACCCTGTGACAAGAAACAGGAATTTTGGTGCCTGGATTGAGATTAGGATTTCTGGATTTCAAGAGGTTTATTCAGTCTCCCTTAAGTGGGTCTCTCTTGTGGGCTTCTGAAGCTATGTGCATGGTTCTCCAAAATCAAGCTGGGCATTTGATTTAATCTTTCTAGCTGGAACTCATAGTTGTCACAGTTGTTCTGTGCTCTCTTTTCCTAATCTGCTAAAGCTATCAGGGCCAGGGCTATGGACACAACATTAAAAAGATGCTCACCCTTGAGGCTGTGCAAACACTGACCCTGGTCATATGTAAAAGAAGAAGTCATTAGAAAATTAAAGCAAACTCTGAATGTTACTGAAGACTTCCCCCGGCACCATGAGGTTATTTTCATTTTGTTGTTGTTTTTCACTCTGGTTGCCCTCCAGCAGTAGGATACAAACTCTGAAATGGGTTCCTGGTATTAGAAGTATTGTAGACTGAGCTATGGAGAAGGAAGAGGAAAGGGGGTGAGGCTAAATGCTTCCACTAGAGAAGGCAGATGGGGGTGCGGGGAGGGGAGTGGGGGGAGCAGATAAAAAAGACTGTCCAGGAGGCCCTCCCTGGTGGTGCAACAGGCTAAAGCACAGCACTGAGAAGCTAAAGCCATTTCAGCATGAGTTTGATCCCCAGCCCCCGAGGTGACCACGTGGCCCGGTAGACCCCTCCTAACCCGCCTGCTGCTCCTCTCAGCAGTGTATTTCAGTAGATCCTCATGTTCTGCTCCCCACTCTGTCTCTGGTGAATCCTCTCACTGCCCCTGCAACTCTGGCCTGTACCCCAGCTCTGTATGCATAAATAAATAAATCTTTAAAAAAAAAAAAAGGAGGACTGGGGAGAAGGGATAGTGGACCATGGGCTAGAGAAGGTAGTTATACAAGCCTGCTTTGGTGGCATTTCTTTTGTAACAAGCATGCTATGTGGATGGGGGAGGGGTGGTCCTGATTGGGTCTCCAGGGAGGATCACTCCTCTCCTGTTTCAGGCTGTTCCTATTATTTTGCCTGGCCAGTTGCTTCCAGCTGAAAGTTTTGGGATCTAGACATCTGAAGTCTATGCCAACCCTCAAGTTCTCTGAATAGGAAACTAGAAAGTGGGGCCCTCTAGGGCTGCTTTGTGCCAACCTGTACTCCCTGCAGGATTCAGTTATTTGTGGGAAGCATGGTTGCTTTAGCCAGCCTGGGGTGGATGGAATGGCTCCAGATGGCAGTCGTATGAGCCCTAAATGAGGTGGCCTTTGCCTTAAAATACACACAGCTCAGGTCCCAACATGCAGCAACCAGTCTGAGTAAAGCTGGCCAGTGCCTAGACCCTGGTCCTCAAAGAGATGTCCTATTAGCATCTTAACCCCCTGTGTTGCCAAGAATTGATCTTTCTTACGGAAATGAATAGATTTTTAGTATCATTCTGAGGTGAGGCATTTAAATGTCTCTGAGCTGCTCTGTGAAAGATGGCCTGTTTAACTGCTCTCATCAGCCAAAAATATCTGTTTAGCCCCACTTTCAAAGCTAGGTTAAGGAATCCAGTCTGCTTCATTTCATGCTTTCAGATAGATTGTTCTTTTGAATGTCAAATGAGGCAAAAGGATATTGCCTCTGAATTCTGCCATAAACTTAGACTTTTCTGTCATGAGGAAAGTGATCTCATCTCATCCCCACCTTCTTTGCCAGTATTATGGTCCCCGACAGTGGCCCACAACTACCCAGAGTTATATACCTCCCTCGTCAATCCTCATCAATGCAATGGCAATTTGCAGACCCAGAACCTTTACAGATGCATTCCAGAACCAAGTTCCTTCTGACTTTCTCTTCTGCCATTTCTGTCACCCTGAGCTTTTTTTCCCCTCAGGGTTATACTTGGCTGCTGTATTGTCTGATTTGGTGTTTGCTTTACCATCTCCTCTACAATTAAAAAAATGTATATTCTGCTCTTTTAAAATTCTTAAATTTTAATTGTGGTATGTAACATTAGCTTTTTTATATTAACCATTTTTAAGTATATAATTTGCTAGTATTAAGTACATTCACACTGAACCTGAAGAAATCTTTCATCTTTCAAAATTGAAACTCTCTCCATTAAACAGTAACTCTGGATTTCCTCTACTCCACAGTCCCTATTCTACTTTGTCTCTATGAGTTTGGATTCTATAGTAATTGCAGTTTGAATTTTTTTTTGATGAACCACCAAGTGGTTTTCGATAGTGTAAGCCTATTCCTTTAAGCAGCTTTCTGAAAGATCCCAAAGAGTGAATTTCACTGCCACCTCAATGATAAGTCATGTGACCACTTATAGCTGCAAGGGAGTCTGAGAAACCATGTGTTTTCAAATGAGCACAGAGCAAAGCTTTCTGACCTGAGGAGATTCCTCTGTGCTGCTCAGTATAGCTGTTTGTGTCCGGGATTGAGTGTCTGAGTCTCAGCAGGGTTTATCCTGCAGACAGTGCCTAACCCTTGTCCACATGATTTGATTTCCGGGAGATCAGTGTCCTCTGAAGCTTCTGCTCCAGGAATGAGAAACAATACTTATTTCTTTCCCTCCTGACGTGTTCTCCCAAGCAATTATGATAAAGTCCCTCCCCTTCCCACTCACACACACACTACATGCTGCCCTGCACTGTCCCTTCACTGTCCATTACTGTTGACTCCTACCCTCCATGCCATAAGTCCCCAGGGGTAGTTGCTGTGTCACCACTGCAGGGCACAAAGCCAAGCCTGCCTCTTGGTGAAGGGGAAAAAGTCAACTCCTTTAGATTATTTCCAATGTTGCCTCCAGCTCTCTCAGCCCAATGATACCACTCATTGGGAAGCTTCTCCCCCAGGTTGTGGGGCCTTGTGAACGAGGGCTACTAGTCCTGGCACCTGTGAGGCCAGGTCCAGATTGGATAAGGCCTGACAGGGCAGGGGGAGCAGAGTGGATTGGAGGAGGAGGCTAATAACCTCCGGAGACTCTGGACCACATGACCAGGCCTGCTCCACAGCTCTGCCTCCATCCCTAGGTACAATCACACAACTCATATCAAAGTATGTTCAGAAACACATGTGAACATAGACTCAAATACAGAGAATTGGTCATATGTATTCACAAATACATAAACCTATGCATGGCTGCAAAACACACACGTACCCACAGGTAGAGTTGAATTGAGTTCAGCACTGAAAGTCAAAGGTGCAAATCCTGGTTCCTCTGCTTACTAGTTGGATTTCTTCAAGTAAGTTACTTAATCTTTCTGTGTCTTAATTTTCTTATTTGCAAAATGAGGGCAATAAATGGAATTCACTTCATGAGTTGTTATGAAGATTAAATGAGATAAAATGATGAAGAGCTGAAAGGTAACTGACCTATGCAGGGATACATACATAGATGTATTTATAGGAATGTCCTATGTCTCTCCCACACTTGGTGGTGGTGGGCTTGGCCGCAGCACAAAGCTGGAATCCTCTGATCCCCCCGTAAAATGGGGGTAATATTATCTTCCTTTCAGGTCTGTTGTGAGGATCTAGAGAAGACCAGTCTGGAAAGCTCCTAGCCCAGAATACTTGAACTATGACTTTCTAAAGCCCAGCAAGAACAGGTGTAGGACCAGCTGGGCCAAAGCCGAGGCCAGACCACCATCTCTCCCAGGCTGGAGGCCGCCTTCCAAGGACTGAGTCCAAAGCCAGGGGATCTGGGGTGCTTCCCTTTGGAACCTGGTCTGGCCAGTAGCCTGGCCTGAGACTGGGAGGCAGGGCTAGTGGGGGTGACTGTGGGTGGAAGGAAAAGAGGGAAACCAGCTCAGTGGAAATTACCCTGCGGTTGCCTCAGGCGCCCACGACACACAGTATTTATAGCGAGCTCCCTGCGGCAATTCATTCCCTGCAGTGGTGTTAACCCTTAACAGGTCCTGGATACAGCCAGGTGCACGCAAACACAGGCCTGGGGGCGGATCGCCCTTGGTTCCCAGCTCGGGCTCTTCACCTCCCTCCTGGAGGGTGGGGGTGATCAGTGGCCAGTCTCGGGTTCCCCTCATTGAAAATAAACTTAAGATCTTGGGAAAG